ATTTATGTATATTATATAATTGTATATCATTATTGTATATATATCTTATATATAATTTATAGGCATATATATTATGTAAAATATAACACAATGTTATGGAACATCGTGTGTCAAATACAGTTGCTCCACCAACCTCACCTAGAATGTCTTGTCCTGCCTTCTCTCACTTTTCTCACTGCTTGTTATTGTTGAAGACTGACAGCCAGATCACCATCCCTCGGAAGGTTTCTCTGACCCCTCAGCCTCTCTTACTGAGCTCCTTCAGGATAGAAGTATTTCGTTTTACACCTTTCCTGACTTATACACAACACTTGGCTGGAAGGACTAGTTGATTAATGCTTACTTGAGTGACACACTTAAGTGTTCACCTTGGTACAGCCTCACTGAGATTTGCTTTGTAAGACAGACATCTAACAAAGTTACCATCATAAGCTGTTTAGAATTTGGATTAAAAAAAAAAAAAAAAGAAACCCTGCAAGTTTAGAGATACTGCTGTTCTGCAAATCCTGAACACAAGAAATGATACTAACAGAAGGGAAGAACATTCTTCCCTTTCCTTTCCCAAATGATGCCTTTATAACTCTGACAACTTCTTGGCAGTACAAAAAACTTCAGTCATTTGATATTTTTTTCCAATTCAAATTCACATTGTGAAGGAGAAACTGCCACAACTAACAAACTATGCTAGAATCCTACCATGTTGTCTGGCTTGTTTTAATAATCTCATAGGCTGTCCAGATGTGAAGCAAAAAACAATGTCAATTTCTGCTTACCCCCTGAAATCAGCGAGCTGTCACATAAGCTGTTTTTCTTGGTCACTGGAAGTCCTTTGATTTGTCCCAGTGGAAAGTCAGTAAGTAAAAAAAGTAAAGATTTAGCTCATTAAAAAATAAATAAATAAAGTTAGAAATGGGGTTCTTTCTATCAGCGGAATATTTTATGCAACAAATAAACAGGTTCTAATTTATTTGTTCCTATTTTTTTCATATTCATTATAAAGCAGCTTTCAAAAACCAAACCAAACTCACTGCCGTCGAGTCAGACCCGACTCATAGATACCCCTCCTTGGGTTTCTGAGGAGGTATCACTATGGAAAAAGATTGCCTAACTTGCCTTCTGAGGAGTGGCTGGTGGGTTTGAATCGCCAGCAGCTTAGCTTAAAATAATAATAATAATAATAAACCCGTGCCATTGAGTCAATTCTGACTCATGGTGACTCCATGGATGTCAGAGTACAACTGTGCTCTGTAGGGTTTTCAATGGCTGTAATCTTACAGAAGTAGATCGCCAGGACTTTCTTCCACAGCACTATTGGGTCGATTCAAACCACCAACCTTTTCATTAGTAGCCAAGTGCAAGCTTGAATTGTGGACTGGTTATCTATCATTCAGCAGTCTCAGAGGGAAGGAAGTATGGTCAGTGCTATGCAAACTTCTAAATTTTTCCCACAAAAAAATTCTAATTGAACTATTATTTAATGTTGGAATCATAGACTAATCAGTGAATTTTTAAGTGGGAAGTGACCTTAGACATCACTATGAACCTAATATCAGGCTTACAAACACTTCAATATAAAGTATTTTTATTTTTATCACTCATGCCATACCATTGAATAAAAAGCTGAATATTTGGAACTTTGATTTTAAATGTAATCATGACCTTTAGAAATAAATTTTCTTAAGAGTTATTCCAAAATCTGGTTTAAAAATAGACCAAAGTGTAAATAAAATGAGCAAATGATATTTTAATTTCCAAGGATCATTGATAAGGAAAGTTTTTACTTTGCTTTCAGTCTTAGAGAAAAGACTTCACCATCTTGTATGTGATGTGTCTTTGTGGATTGCTGATATCTTCATAGAATTTGACTGGAATTTCCTTCTCTTCAAAATGAATAGGCATTTTCTGGCTCTCCACAGTCATGAGCTTCACTTCCAGGGGGCCCAAGTTTACATAATCCTATGATATAAAGACATGGAAAAGAAGAAGCTATTCAGCAAGTTGCCAGCCTTGCTAGATTAGGTTCTTCATTATAGTTGGTCTTTATATGTTGAATTTCATTATCCTCCTAATTGCCTGATTGCTATATAACACATGAAATAGAAGAACCACTGTAAATAAAAAACTCAGAAAACTTATATCCCCAGTGGGGCATGACAGACAAGATCTCCCCAAGAGTAGTCAGCAAGAGGGTTACGGGGTGGGCAGGGGGATGAGGCATGGTGTACTGGCTACAGAGAAAAAAACAAAAAAACAAAAACCAAACCCAATGCCATCTAGTTGATTCCAACTCATAGTGACCCCCATTGGCTTTCCAGGGCTGTAAATCTTTACAGAAGTAGGTTGCCTCATCTTCTTCCTACAGAGCAGCTGGTGGTTTTGAACTACTGACCTTCTGGTTAGCAGCCAAATGCCTCACCCATATATATCCTCTGTAAGCTCTTTTAATGGTGAAAGAAAGTGTTAGTTGTGTGTGTGTGTGTGTATATATATATATATATATCCCTCTGCTGGTCAGATCATACCATAGCAGAGTTTTCCATGTTATTCAAGAATAAAGAGAAAGATCCACTAAAGCTATTTTGGCTATAAATACTCTAATACTGACCAACTTTTCCACAGGAATTTTGGCTACCATATAGATAAAACTTAACCATATACTATTAAATTCATTATCAGTCTGAGATATCAACTAACAGAACTAGAAGTCTAATTTAAATGAAATTCATATGTAAATGAATGAAATTTCATTTAAATGAAATTCATATAGTCAAATTGGCATGACATTCCATAGCCAATCCTCAAATAGGATTAAAATAGCTCAGGCCCTACCCAATATCCCTTCTGTGGGAAGCCTCTCTGGACTCTTCAATGCATAGCTTTCACTTTTGTGCTTAGTCAGTACTTCCATTCAGCAGACCTTTCCTGAGTGCCCACAGTGTGGTAGGCTTGTACCAACTGCTGGGATACAATGATAAGGTCACAAACTGGTCAGGGAGACAAACACAGGTGGCACATTCTTCTGGTACAGTAATTGTTGGTTTTCTTACCCATCTTCTACTAGCCCATATACAACCTGAGTGTAGGGAATCTCTGAGACTTCCTTATCTCCTGTTCTCCCTCCTTAAATTCCCAAGCCTCTAACAAGTAACTGGCATGCAATTTATCAACAAATAAAAATCTTGGAAAATACGTATTTGAGTTTAGGAGAATTGAAGAAAGAAAAAGGAAGATGATGTTTTATCTTTCAAAAATGCAAATAATTGTATTTAGCTTTCAAAATATATAAATATATCCAACCCACTGCCATCTAGTTGATTCTGACTCATAGTGATCCTGTGAGACAGAGTAGAACTGCATGATAGGGTTTCCAAAGTTGTAAATCTTTACAGAAGCAGACTGCCTCATCTTTCTCCTGGGGAGCTCCTGGTAGGTTTGAACTGCCGACTTTTTGGTTGCAGCTCAAAGCTTTAACCACAGTGCCAGAGATAGAGCTATACTAAATGTAAGATAGAACAAAAGCAGATAGAGGCCCACCAGTACATATTTTAGGATCTTTTAGAGAAGGATTCCAAAGCAATAAATCATGGCCATGGCAGTTCCACCACATCAAAAATCCAGAGAAAGTAAATCCTTTGTTATGAAATGAATTGTGTCCCTGAAAATGATATGTTGAAGTGCTAACCCCTGTAGTTCTAAATGTGTTGTTGTTTGGGGAAATAGGGTTTTTCTTTGCAGATGTTATCACTTAGGTTAACAGTGTCATGTTAGAGCAGGGTGGGTCCTAATCCTATATGACTGGTGTCATACAAAGAGTACACACAAACAGAGGCACATAGAGGGAGGACAGCATATAAGGACCCATCTACAAGCTGAGAAAAGTCAAGGAATGCTCAGGGCCACAGAAATTTCAAGAGACAAAGAAGCTTCCTCTAGCACTGACAGAGAGAGTGAGAACATAGCCCTAACAATGCCCTGTTTTGGGCTTCTAGCGTCTAAACTGTAAGAAACTGTAAGAAAATAACTTTCTATTCCTTAAAACAACCCACTTTCTGGTATTTTGTTCTACCAGCCCTAGAAAACTAAAACAGCCTTTCATTTCATTTCATACCAAATGGTGTGCAATTTTGGGATTTCATAGTCATTTGTCCAGCTGGCTTAAGGTCATCATGACATACCAGTAGTCATGACTCCAGTAAGCTCACGGGGGTATTTTCATGGTCTAGAGACTAGAACTTTGGTCCCTTAAATGGTTGCTTGATGGTAGCAGGACTGAGTTGCAGTGAGTTAAAATGTTCTCTGTTGGTCTCTTAGTTTCTTCTGCTTTCTTACAGTATTCTTTTTCCTATCAGACTTTAAAGTACTCAGTAATATCAAGAAGGAAGATAGCAAGGGGTAGATGTGAGGATAACTGGTATACACCAAAAAGATGTTTTAACATTAAAAGGTATGATACTTCAAGTTTCAACAACGGCAGTTTGTGTTTTCCAAAGATGTCCATACTAATATATATCCTATCCCACATGGTTTTCTTACAACATGATGCTGACCCTCTTCCATCAAGATGTAGGATCAAGATGTACTTTCCCCTTGGGCAGAACTTTGTAACTGCATTAACCAAGAAAATATGATGGAAGTGATGATGTTTGATTCCCAAGGCTATATCTTACAAGGTAATGCAGCTTTCATCCTGTTTTCTGAAGTTGCTTGCTATGAGGGAAGTCAGACACCATAAAAAGAGATACTCAAGGTGCCCTGTGGAGAAGCCCTAATAGAGAGGAACTGAGGCCCCCAGCTTAGCCAATACTTAATTTGCCAGCCATGTGAGTAAGCTACCTTGGAAGTAGATCATCCTGCTCCAGTCAGTCCTTCAGATAACTGCAGCCTCAGCCAACATATGACTGCTACTGCTTGAGAACCCAATAAAATCCTTCCTGAATTCTTAATTGACAAGCCATGAAAGAGAATAAGTGATTATTTTTATAAGCTACTAAGCTTGAGGTGAGTTTTTGATATACCATTATATAACATAAATAGTGTACTAGTAATGGGAGGCCTATAAATGAATATAAGGAGCTCTGGCGGTATAGTGGTTAAGGCATTTGACCATTAACAAAAAGATAGGTAGTTCGAACCCACCGGCTACTCTGCAGAAGAAAGATGAGGCAGTCTGCTTCTGTAAAAAGATTTACAGCCTTGGAAACCCAATGGGGGTTGCTATGAGTTGGAACTGAGTTTGGCAGTGAGTTTTTTTTTTTTTTTTTTAGTAAATGAATATATGGAACAAACTGGGCATAGGTAGGACTAAAAGTGGTATCCAATGAGATGTTAATGGAGGGCCAATGTTTTCTGATAATTGCAAACAGAATTGGCGTAGTGCCTAAGGCACTTAACTGCTAACCAGAAGGTTGGCAGTTCAAACCCACCAGGCACTGTGCGGAAGAAAGGCTGGGCAATCTACTTCCGTAAAGATTTACCGCCTCAGAAACCCAAAGGGGGTCACTACGAGTTGGAATCAACTCAATGGCAGTGAATTTGGTTTTTCATATTTTAAATTCTTCATTAAGTAATAGAACAGTACTCTCTTAGAAGTCAAAGTTCTGTTCCCATGAACCTTACCTTGAAATCCTGCTCATCTTCATATAATAAGTATTTCATTTCAGAGGCTCCAAATTCTATGCATGAACTCTCCTCTTCATCTGTCTTCAGATGGACCGCTCTGATGCTATCCTCAAAGCTAATATGTGAGGCACTGCTCTCAAGGGCTGGACTCATCAAGTCTTTATGTTTTAATTGTTCATGTTGTAATTTTGACTTTGCTTCTGGGATGAGTACAAAGAATACAAAGTTAATTATGTATCTATTTTGAACATATTTTTGTCACATTCCTAATTTGAAAGATGTTTGAGAACTAAAAATGTAGAATTTATTTAAATGTGAGTAAGTCCAATCTTTAGAAACTCTTAAGTTGCATTTCCTTCTGTTAACTAAGTTTCAGTAATCATATGGAACCATATATGTGCATCAGAATTTTGATTGGCTAAATTGGAGCCCAAATCATGCCAGTGTAGACAATACCCTACTACTCTCTCTACCATTACTTATTTAATTCACTGTGATACATGATGACTTTGATTTGATTTTGAAATGGAACTCTGAAAATGTGACTAAAGAGGGGAGAATGGTTAAGACAGGCTCTGAAAGAAGAGAAATATGAAGGAACTGGCATGTATTTATTCCCTGAATAGGTCTTGAATGTGAGGTGCCTGTACATAGTAGATGCTCAATAAGTGTTTGGTAAATTAAAAAAAAAAAAAAAAGTCTTTGTCACCATTACAATAAAATAATACCATTAGGTATTTCTGGAAACTCCAAAGCAGTTTCTTCAGGTGGCACTTGCTGTCCAGCTGCTTGGGTAAGAAATAGCCGTCTAAAAGAACAAATAAGAAAAGTATTTTGTCAGTCAACAAATATAATACTACATGCTCACTAGTGTCTGCTATGTGCTGGAGACCCAGAGGTGAAAAATGAGACACAATTTCTACCCTTGAAGTTTCCTCCAGGAAACCCTCCCTCACCTCCTAAGGCTGAATCAGGTTCTGTTTCTCTATGCCCTGTAGCAGTTCTCACACTCTGCTAATTATCTGTCCTTGTACAAAACATGACTTTTACATGTTCACTGGGGACAGTTCACCTCTATTTCTCACCACACTACTAGCAATTATAAAGGACTGAATTCTCAACAAAGAAGTAGAAAGGGCAGTTGCCATAAAATATTATATTTCTTTGACTTGGAAATACCAAAAATAAAACCCCAAACACACTGCTATCGAGTCAGATCCAACTCATAGCAACCCCTCCTTGGGTTTCCAAGGTGGTATCACTATGGAAGTAGATTGCCCAGTCTTCCTTCCGAAGAGTGGCTGGTGGGTTTGAACCACCTGCCTTCTAGTTAGCAGTCAAATGCCATAGGCACTATGCTACCAGAGCTCCCTGACTTGGATAAGAAGTGTATCAGACAATTGAGGGTTTACACATGTGCCTGTTTCTTTATGCAGATCTTTCTAAAATGTCCTAAACATTTGCACCAAGAGTTTGTAGTCTAGTAAAAAAAAGCAAACATTAAACAAGTAAACACAAGTGTAATAAATGCTGGTTACAAAGGAAAAGTTCAGAGTGCCATGGAGGCGTATAAGAGCAGCACCTAACCCAGTCCTTATAAATATAGCCCATACTGTTTTTTGCCCTTAGGTAAATTTAAATTTTATCTCTCATAACTCAGAAGCAGGACTAAGCATTTTGTTGACTCTCCTAAGAGAAAATCAGCCCCTCAAGCCCTGACAAACAATGATGGATCTCTGGGGAAAACTGAGGATAGAGTTAAATTGTGTACTGTACAGCCAACAATAAAAATGTTCCTCCTTTCCCTTCTTGTCCTTGCCAAGTTCTCTCAGGCCTATGAAAGAACTCCCTTTTGTTATATTATTAGCATTTCACACCTATGTCAGCTCCAAATCAGATTTACTAGACTAAGCTGACTGAAGCAGAGAAGTGTGGCTGGCAGTTTGAGGATAGCTCTGTCCCAGGATTTGGCAAAAGGAGGAAAGTAGAAAAGAGGGAAATAGTTTAACAGTGGTTAGAAGGTATAGAGCCAGTAACAGCTGGCAGAAATTAGACATAATCACAATACAGCTGCACCAGATGGTGAGGATTAGAGAGGGATAGGAGTGTGGTGCTGGAGATCTGATCATAGAGAGGAGGGCTGGCAGCAGAGAGCATGTCCGTCTGGGAGGATAACAAGGCACCCACTCTTAAGGCCCTCAAGGGCATAAGCTCAAGAGACTGGAAGTACAGGAGGCCAGTAATCAAAAAAAAAAAAAAAAAAGAACCATCCTTCAGCCTGACCTCCAGGTCACTGATGTGTAACTCTCCCAGGCAGCATACAATTGTGGAAGGTAGGTAGGTGCCCTCTTTCTCTATACTACTCCACCCAGCCTTCAACTTACAACATAACTGTACCATCTCCAAGCTTCTCCAATCTTTTATCCTGGTACCATCACATAGCCCAGCAAACAACCCGTAAATAACCAGTATCCACCCTCTTTGGCACACTTTAGAGAGTTTGTAAAGAAACTCTTTATTGCAGCTCAAAAAGTGTTTTTCCACACCCATACAAGCAACAGGAACTACTTGAGTAGAAAATTTTTCCTTGCTCTCCCACTATGTTCATCTTACTACCTGCTTTAATTTCTAGACTCTGAATATTCTCTCCTAAAAAAATTTAGAAAGCAATTTGACTCTTGCATTAACTATGGAAGCAAACAATCAATACTGCAGCTCATAAGGTAACCAAAAGCCCAGAACACCTCCAGGAAGCTTCTGAAGAGTTGACCACTCTCTCTTTGCACTAACTCTGCACCTCATACATCCTTCATTACATTATAATGATTTTTCATGTCTCCCCTGGTGTTCTTTAAGTTCCTGAAGGTTGGCTGTTGAAATGTTCATGTTAAGTGTTTACTATTATCACTATAGTGCACTGCTTGAAAAGACAAAGCTTATGCTGTAATGCTCTTACACCTTCACCATGGCTATTTTGTTTCTTTTTGACTATTGTAGGAGCTCTGGTGGTGTAGTGCCTACGGTATTTGACTGCTAACGAGAAGGCTGCTTGTTCAAACCCACCAGCCACTCCCCAGAAAGAAGCTTGGGCAATCTACTTCTGTAGTGATACCACCTCAGAAATACAAAGAGGGGTTGCTATGAGTCATATCCGACTCGACTGCAGTGAGAGTTTTGACTCTGACTGGAGCATTGAATAATTAATCCTCTCTTTAAAAAAAAAAAAAAAAAAAACATTTACAGGTATAAATGTTTACAAAATACTTTCTAAATGTTAATGACTTTCACCTGGATATGTTGAGATCCACAAGTCTACAGCTGAATAGTTGATTAATAAGCACCAAATTTTCTTCTTCCAGCTTGTGAATAGCATTTTCCAATTTTTCAACTTCCTTCTTGTGCACTGCAATCTGTTCCCAGAAGAAGAAAATAGATGTTGGTAGTTAGTAACTTAATTGTATTTAGCCTTCTTTAAGAAATTCAACTTCTAACAGTGCATTTGCCTGAAGGTAAGGTCTATCACATTATGTATTTACGTTAACACTTACATAATGTAGGGTTTACATTATGTAACATTTACATAATGTGGCCTTTACATTATGTAAACGCCACATTATGTAACTTTACATAAAGTATTTTGACCTTTGTCCTTGGTTCCTGAGAGAGAACTCTAAACCTGAGAATTTCCTGAGTAATTTAGGTGCCTTTGTTATCTAGAGGCCTCTAGACCACACCTGGAAGTTTCTGCTAAGGAGGTAACTCAGGTGGGGGAAACTTGAAAGACCAACTTGTGAGATAAGCTGACCTTAGGGAAGATGGGCTGATTCAGTTATCATGGCATTGTAATGAGACCTCATAAAGGCTCTGGACATGGAAGTTCCAGGGGCTTTCTGTTTGATGAAAGACCTAAATGCCATGGAAGGGTAGTGCTTCACTTTCTGGGACATGGGAACTCCCATTGGAACTCTCCCCTATCTTGTGCTATGCATCTCTTCACTGATATATTTTTGCTATAATAAAACTGTAATCCTAAGTACAGCACTTTCTGTGAGTTGTTCTAGCAAATTATCAGACTCAAAGGAGTAGTAGAATCCAGCACATCAGAAGTGAGGGGGCCTGGGAACTTCTGAGCTTATAGCTGGTAGCCTGAAGGGACAGAGAGAACCGCACAGTGTGCAGTTTATAGCTGGCATATCAAAGAGGTAGTGATAAAACCTTGAATTTGTAGCCAGCAATTCAGAAGTGAGAGTGTGGTGGGGACTCCTAAGGTTGCAGCTGGTGTCTGAGGCCTTGGGAAGACATGTCAGTCTGGAGGGTTATGTCTTTTAGTTTGTGATATGTGTCCTAGCTCCAGATGGTTAGGATCAAAGGAGGAAGTGCTGTATGTGCAGCTGATGTCAGAACAGAAGGGAACAGACTGTGCTAATAGGTTAATTTGGATCGATGTATTTTGTTTCAGAAAAGTAGAATTTTGATTTTTCCCTTACACTGGGTTTGTTTGTTCTAAGAAGGAATGAGTGGGATTCTTTTCTAGATTATCAGTTGAACTTGTTTGCATGGTTAGGTAGGTATTACAGAATGGCAGGTGTTGTTCCTTCCTACCCTTCAAAAGCACTGCTGCTATATGAGTTAGAGGCAGAGATAAATAACAAAATATAGATAATTAATTTAGCAGCATGGCATATCAAGTATTAACTGAGGGTCTTTCTAAAGTTAATTATAAACAATAATAAAAATTAGTAACACTAGAAAGAATACTATAGAACAGTACTTTTAAAAAGAGAAATACACGAGACCAGAAGAACTAGCTGGTGCCCAGCTACCAATTGCCAACCACTTGGGAAGGGATCAAAATTGGAGATCTTGGATCAAGTGGGAGGAAAAATGTGGAACAAAATCCAAAAACACAGTAATGACCAGAATTACTGGTCAGATGGAGTCTAGTGGGACCTCCAATGCTATGGCTGTGGGATACACTTTGGGCCTGGAATAAAACTTACTCCCAGGGGCGGGCTCTCAGCCCAATAGTAAATAAGATGTATATACAGACCACTCAATCCAGGGTGATGCAACCACATACTCTATAGAGATGCATCCCTTGGAGCAATCGACCATGGGGCATCAGAGGGGCAACATTCACACAGAGGAAGTGCAGGACACACAGGAGTGCATAACTATGAGGGGCACAGTGTGGGAGATGGTTACTGGGAAGATAGGGAAGGAGAGTGGGTTAGGGCTGGGGATGGTAATTGGGGAGTGAATGTAAATGTACACAAAATGCTGATGCAAAACAAGTTCTGCTCTGTAAACTTGCACCTGAAGCACAATATAAATAAATAAATATAATAAAAAAATACAGACTTACTAGCTCTATCCACCTCTATAATACAATTATGAGTTCTCTGAGTGCTGGTAGGTCTGAGAAATACAAAGTAGAAGAGATACTGTTCATTTATTAAATTGTATTGTATGCCTACTATATGTCAGAAACTATATTACATTTTGGGAACAACATATCAACAAGATACAACTTTCAAGGATCTCTTAGCATAGTGGAAAAGAAGGCGATGAAAGCAGAAAACACAGATGCTGTCTAGGTGATGAGGGAGCAAAGAGAGGTTCACCTTTATTTGTACCAGGTGTGAAGGGGCAGGAGAGAATTAACAGAAGAGAGAACATCTAATCTGGATCTTGAAGAGGGAGTAGGGACAACCTAGGCTGACAAGAAAGGGTGCATTCTAGGCAGAGGGAAGCACCTGTGCAAAGGCATAATTACTTTGGCTTAGCTTGATACGAAGTGGGAGCCAGGGAAAAGTAGGAGAGAAACTGGAGAAACAGGGAAAAGCCAACTAATGCTAAAGAGTGTGAATATTATCCTGTAGGTAAAGGAAGGTTGTAAATAGACAAAGCAAGCTTAATTAGCATTTACTGGAGAAATATGGCTCTGGTGGCTTAGTGTGTAAGGCATTTGACTGCTAACCGGAAGACTGGCGGTTCAAACCCACCAGCCACTCCTCGGAAGGAAGGCTGGGCAATCTACTTCCTTAGTGATACTGTCTCAGAAACAGAAACCCAAGGGGGGTTGCTATGAGTCGGGTCTGACTCGACGGCAGTACATTGTGTTTTGTTGTGTTATGTATGAACAAATATGCTGGTTCTGTTGCTAGAGTCCTCATCAGTCTTTAAGGATTATATTTTAATAACTTTTTATCTAAAAAAGACTTGATCATGGGAAGATCATGCTGCTAGGTAGAACCCCAGTTCACTTCTTTGCCAGCTTAAAGTAGCATAAGTTATTCAGGTTGTGGGGTCAGGAGATGTTCATGCTCAGAGGTCAGGACAGTAGAAATGATTTGCATAGAGAATAAGCAGGAAATGACAAGCTGATGAAAATTCTAGAAAGATAAACTGAAGGAAGATATGAGTCTTGAGGGAATGTGATGAAACAGGAAAGGCACAGCTATTAGTGGTACCACCTGAGAAACCCAAGAGGGTCGCTATGAGTCAGATCTGACTCCATGGCAGTGAGTTTGGTTTTTTTGGGGGGCGGGAATCACTTGTCCAGAGTTATTAAGAGTGTAACTGAGATGAGCACTTGGAAGGAGATGACTATCATTATTTTTGTCCTTTGGAATTGAGATTTAGTCATCGTATTTTGGAATCTTGAAGCATTCGATATATTACCACATACTTTTCTCTATCATATAAAAAACAAAACAAACTAACAAAAAAATTGACTGCCATTGAGTCAATTCTAACTCATAGTGACTCCCGAGGCTGTAAATCTTTATGGAAGTAAATTATCCCAGTAGATTACCTCATCTTCCTTCTGCAGAGCGGCTGGTGGATTTGAATTGCCAACCTTCTGGTTAGCAGTTAAATGCCTGAGGCACTGTGCACCTGAGCTTCATCCACATAAGTACTATATTAAATATTTAATTTCTCTCTATGGGCAAGGCTCTGTGCTAGATGTAGAAGGATATAAAAGTGAATAAGGCATGGCCTTTTCCCTAAGGAGAGTTTACAATCCAGTGAACAAAACAAAAAATCATAATAAAAAACAATATAAATGTCACAGAAAAGGCTCAAATATTGCCTGTGGCTTCGAGTTAGAAAGAAAAGCATATATTATTTACCTGCTTCAAACAATTTAGCAAAACCATTTAAGTCCATAACACTAAATTACAAAGCTAGAGGTTGATGCTTTAGGATCTAAAATGTTGAGAGAGATCAATTTGATTACAAGCTTGAATGCCTTAAGGAAATGTTTATAATTTCGAATTGTCAAAGGAAGAGAAAGAAATTATAGTCAGAAGTTATAAACAAAAGGAATTAATACAGCATTTGGAAATGTTTGACCTATAGGCTTAGCATGTTTGGTGGGCAGCACTCATAGTTCTTCGTCTCTTTCCAAAGTTGGGAATGAGGGCCCTTTTGAGGAGTTATATCCAATCTTTCAGGTTAAATGTACCGTTGGACATTACTACTCTTACAGAGTACTAAATATGGCTCTCATCAATTGCCATCCCCTTCCCAGTTTATTGAAATGTTAGGGAAATGAAAACTAGTTCCTTTTTATACCATATAAATATCTTTGGATTTCTGGAGTAAAAAAGTGAAATGAAAGAAGTTGAAAGCCACTTTCTCCTCCCCCCCCCCCAAAAAAAAAAAATTCCCAAGAAATGCATACAGATATTGTTGTGTTGTTGTTGTTATGTGTTGTCGAGTAGGACTGGACTCAGTGACCCCTTCTTGGGTTTCCAAGGTGATGATATCACTATGGAAGTAGATTGCCCAACATTCCTTCCCAGGAGTGGCTGGTGGGTTTGAACTGCCAGCCTCTGGTTAGCAGTCAAGTGCCTTAGGCACTATGCCATCAGAGCTCCGATATTAGGAAAGATTATTTAGTTAAAACTATTGTAAGTCATAGGACCTCTGGTGGCGTAGTGCCTAAGGCATTTGACTCCTAACCAGAGGCTGGTAGTTCAAACCCACCATCCACTCCTCAGAAGGAAGACTGCTCCCTTAATGATATAATCTTGGAAACTCAAGGAGGGGTCACTATGGGTTGGATCTGAGTTGATGGCAGTGAGGGTTTTTTTTTTTTTGGTATTATAAGTCATGAATGTCAGAAGAGACTCTGAAACATAGCAAGGATTGTGAGGATGGCATAGGGCTGGTCAGTGTTCCTTTCTGTTGTACAAAGAGTCAGAGCCAATTTGATGGCTCCTAAAACAACAACAATATTATAAGTTAGGGACCTAAGATCTTCAATAAAATATGTGTTATTTATATATTTTCCTGAAAGGTCCAAGTTATTCTTGTGCCTCCTCACATTTGAAACTGATTGCTAACCTCTTTGAATCCTTTAGTCTAATTTCTCTGGCTCCCCATTGGTTGAGTTAGTCTA